ATGCTCCTCCTCCCCCCCGCACCAGCATCCTCGCCAGGACAGATAATCTCTCATCAGGCGCAGTTGGATGTGAAACAATTTGTTCTCGGAGACGGAGCCACTAACGACCTAATCAAGCTATCAAGGCGGAAGAAGATTGCGGCGTGACCCGGGCCCATCCATCTGCCGGGGAGCCTTTTAATCTCCTTCTCATTACGCCGCCGCAACAGTATGGCCGCGAATAAATAAAAGGAAATAAATAAATAAATAAATAAATAACGCCCGGGGCCCTCTCTCTCTCCTCCGCCTAAGATAAAATTAACGCCCAATTTTTCCTCATTGAGAGTAATTAGTTAAATCAGAGCAGCTCGGGAGGACGGATGCTGCAGAGACGCGGGGAGCTCAAATGAAATAACTACATAGAATTTATTAGCACGGGTCAATAGCGCTGCTCCCCGGAGTCCCGGTAGTTTAATTTCCCGTGATATTTGCCCGCCTGCCCGCCATCGATTGGGCCTGAAATTAACTTATTTTTCAATCAGCCACGCGGCGCCCTTGGGTCGCTCCTCCTTCCCACTTTCATGCACTTGCTGCTTTTGAGGGGCAGGGAAGCAATTTCTCAGAAAAAATATCTTGTATGAAATAATGGTTATCAGCATGGTTAGTGAGAAAAAAAAAATAGGATAAAACGATTTGATCTTAAGTGCGTAATACCTGTCCCCACACTTCTTGAGTTTTCCTTCTGGTTCTTTCCTTTTTACAGAAGCATCAGCACTGTCTAAGTAGAGTGTTTAGCTACCCTGTGTTGTGCCATACAATCAGTTTGACCCTTTTTCAGCTGACACCCTGTCTGCTGGGTCTAAAGCAGCTGCTGGCCCGGGCAGAGGAGGTGTCTTGATTTGTCAAAACCATCTGTAATTTCACCAAAGGCAGCTGACAAGGAGGCACAGACCTGTTACACTTGTAGATGAAGAAAAAAAAAAATCAATGACTGAATCAGAACAGCATCATTTCAGGCTAAAGTCATTGTGATTTCTGCACTGCTCAAATTCTAATCATATCAGCATCTTCAAGAATGCTCGGCAAGACATGAGCAGAGATCACTCAGCTCAGAGAAATGAGAAAAATGAGAATATATATATCTGTGGTGATTTGGGTGTGAAGAAAACGGTTTGATTAAATCGATCTACATCATTCCAGAAACGGCTATCACTGTAACCTGAGAAAACATCCAAAGGACTGATTTTTTTTCTCCACCCATACAGCAGATTTGTTCTTTTTATTTGTCGTTTTTGAGATATAAAACATGAGCACACCATCATCAATACAGATACAACTCTTTTTTTTATGTTTCCCACTTTTTCCCAAATGACACAGCATCACCTTTCAAAATCAACATGTGCCTCAAATTACAGGAATATTACATGAGTGATTTAAAAAAATTAAACAAAAGAAAGGATTTCATTCTGCAGTCACGTATTTATGATGTATGGATTTTGTGACCCTTCCTCGCAAAGGTTGCAGTGTTTGAAACTGAGAGAAGTGCACGTTTCCATCTGTGTGAGGGCAATTTTAAAAGGATAATTAAGGCATTTTTCTTCTCCCATCACAGGTATGGTTTCAGAATCGAAGGGCTAAGTGGAGGAAGAGGGAGAAGTGCTGGGGCCGCAGCACAGTGATGGCGGAATATGGGCTGTATGGAGCCATGGTGAGGCATTCCATCCCTCTGCCAGAGTCCATCCTGAAGTCTGCCAAGGATGGCATCATGGAGTCCTGTGCCCCCTGGCTGCTCGGTGAGTCTGGGCTCTAACAGATCCTGAATGATTCTGCATGCCTCTGTCATTTTATCTGATGAATTTTAATTGCTCTGATTCAGAATTAATATAGATATAATATAAATTAACATCTGTATTTTTTTATATATGCACAACTTGTTCATCCGCCTTTTTCTTATTTCCTTAGTAAACGTTTTAATAGCCCAGCATGACATTTTTAAAGCAGAGAATAAATGTCTACAATCCTAACCCTGGTTATGCATTGCTATTGTCCATTTAAGCATTATATTCTAAACCAGAACTATTTTTTGCTTGCTGTTTTCAGTCCAAGATGGCTTACCAATCAACAGACGCTATTCTAAATCTGAATACCCGCAACTCTTTGCAGGGATGCACAAAAAGTCCATGGAGGCAGGAGCCGCCCCCCCGACAGGAAAGTGCGATGCCACCCAGCAGCCCAGCTCTCAGAGGCCGGAGGACGCTGAGGCCGAGGAGAAGAGGTCAGAGGGCATTTCCAAAGAGGAACTGAGAGAGAACAGCATCGCGGCGCTCAGGGCCAAGGCACAGGAGCACAGTGCCAAAGTGCTGGGGACAGTTTCCCACGACAGACTGCTGGAGGCCGAAAAGGAGAAACAGGCGGTTGAGGAGAAGGCCAGTGATCCTCCGCCCAGTCCAGAGGAGGCAAAAAGAAGTCCCTAGAGATTATCCAGAGCTTAAGGACTGCCGTTCCCATGGCTGAATGCACTGGACTGGATGCTATCGGCAGACTTACCAGCAGATTTCTACCCTGACTGACGTCTCCACATCTGGACTCGTACAAGCAGAGACTCGCGTGGCTGATGGACAGAAGGAGCAAGCACAGTTTTTAACCATTAACTTCCAAACTTGCCGGTGTCGCTTCTCAAGAGTAGAGACATTTTACCAGACGCGGAGCAGGAAATTAAAGGTGTACATAAAAAACGAAAATAAACCGGACGAGCAAACATTCTGATCATGCCCTAATGAGAAGTCAGTTTGTGAAAGGCCACGTTCAATTCATGACATTCATTCTAATAATTTTTGTACAGTTACTGAATAGTGACATTTTAGATCAGACTCATCCCACCGACAGTAAGAGAAAGAAAGTAACCGTTGCCCCTATATTGCGCTGTATATAATTGATGTACGTCAGTCTCTCTCTCCTCGGGAGACAGTTGAACTGAGTTCTCCTGTAGTCTTACAATGTCTGTGTTTTCATTTCAAAATATGTATAAAATTCAAAATGCAAAATAGAAATCACTGTTTATTAAATGTGTCTCTTGGTGTCTGTACTTCTGCTGTCTTTTCAGGAAATGTGGATCCTGTAAAATGATTTGGTTGTCATGGTGTTGTTGCATGTCTTGACTGGCCTGAAGTTGGCGTCTTATGTGGGGGAGCCACTGGCTGTCACTGGACGCAGCACTGTCCGGGCTCATTAGGAAACCCTCCCAGACTGCACGCCCGCTTCGGTCCCTATAATCCGTTGCCAACTAAATCCTTCAGTTTCAGATTAGGCGAGGGGACCGGCGTGTTTTGGGAGAGGAGAAAGAGAGAAATCACCTCCAAGCAGGGATGATCTCGGCCTGATTTTCAAAACATTTTAATAGATGCTGCTACCAGCTGACACGCAAGCTGTTTCATCCTCTTATCTGAATACTTACCCAAGGTCTGACAGCTTTATTTGCAGGCAATCTTCGTATTTTCTGACTGTTCAGAAACGTTTGAATCGAGGCCTCAGAGCTTAGCTTTCTTAAATATCTCTGTTCAGGGATAAAGCTGTTGGACATTTGACACTCTCTTATAAGCTGAGCTATTTAGCTCTATCACGTTTGCAGTGACAATTCTTTTCAGTATGCCTGAACACGTCCCAGCCTGAGTGGCTCTCAGATGGGAACCATCAAATCATTCTGTTTACAAATTACACTGCTGGCAGAGGGAAACACACATAAAGTCTTTGCTGAAGGCTTAATGATGTAATCAAGCGAGTCAGGACAATTATTAATGTCAGCGTAACTCTTATCTGTGTGAACTACACATTCAGGTGGATGCTACACCGTGGATAACAAGCAATTCAAGAACAATGAGGAAATTTAGCTTCACAATCTGAAAGACTGATATCATAAACCACTAACCCATATTATTTAAAAACACATCTATTCATTTCAATCACTATTTTAAATCAGATACATTTCAGTTGTCCTATATCTTCTATCTATCTAAACATATTTCACTCCCTGTCATCTGGTAGGGCTCCACCCACTCTTTTAACTCCTCATCCTAACTTAACCTGACTGTGCTGAACTCATCTCAATTCAAGGATTAAAATATGTATTGTCCCATCTTTCGTCATCTTTTGTCACTCTAGCTTATCTGAATTTATCTAGTCTTGCCTCATTTCACCACATCTTCTCCCAAACCGTCTCATTTCATCTCATCCTGTCACACTGACTCCTCATGGCATCTTATCTAGTTGTGTGATCTAACGTCATGTCATCTCGACATGTCTCATCTCACATCTGACAGTTAAAAAGTCTCAACCTGTCCTCTCTAATCCCACCTTACTATAGCTGGACTCATCTCATCCTGTCTCACATTGCCCCATCTCATTTTACCACGGTTTACCATCTATCACATCCAGACTTCTAATCCATCTCAACTCGGCTCTAGCCATCTCACCTCATCTTGAGTCTTGTCTCTTTTCACATCTTTTCATCTTCATCCATCCTTTCCTCTCCCGACTAAAAAAAAACTCAACTTAGCCCTCTTTCTGCACGTATTCGTAGCTGTCTCAGTTTGAACCATAATCATTTCTGCTGACATCTAATAAAGTGATGTCACAAGGCCAAAAATGAATTTAGTAAAAATACCTGTCAAATAAAAATGTTGAGTCTAACAGGTTTAGGCTAGCTCACTGTAGATTTGCTCGTATAATCTTCAGTTTTCAAAGTGCTATAAGTGTATGCTATAAAGCTTGAAACAAACACAACACATACTGAAGAAAAACTGAAATAAACAACTCAGCCCATCTAAGTTACAGAGACCAATAAATATACAGCGCCTGGATTATGGCCCTAAAGTGCAATGCTGTTTAATCCTCTGAGAGTGAAATAGAATGCCATTATAGATCAGATTTTCTAAAGATCAAGCTGTTTACATTGAATTTGAAGAGATAATTCATAGTATCCCTGGTGATGGGCAGTCTGTTTGTTGGAGACTGCCAGAAGATCATCACTATCCATGCAAAGTGACTTGAAGGCTTTAAAGAAAGATTTTGTCTAATGCATTATTAATATTCAATTTATTTTTTTAATGGGGTTCTGAGAAATACAGTTTACTGGCGAGATTAGGAGTATACATATAATATCTGGAGATCTCTGGGCTCCAGTTTTATGCAGACTTAAACTGAGTCGGTAGCAGCCAGTGAGGAAGTGTGGTGCTGTTCTGCCCTCTGCTGCACGGATGTGTAAGCACAACTAAGCCCTGACCATGAAGCAACCCTGTACGCCGGCTTATATTTGGACTGCATTCCACTGAAAAGAGCTATCACGTTTTTTTCCCCCATACTTTCAGGTTTTCTAAATTGAAAATGATGCATGGTGTCACTTTCTGTTCGGCATCAGCACTGGTTTAATTTGAGGGAGATGGTCAAATTCCATAAATCAAAGTGGTATTGCAGTCTCACATACCTTAAAAGCTGCTCTGAGGTTTATGATTGCCGTCCCTTTCTCGGATAATTGCGTGCTTTTCTGAATAATTAGAACTAATATTACCTTTCATTTAATTTAATTCTCAAATCGATGTTTTGTATTATTAATAGGATGAATAAGACAACATTTTGGTGGGATTTCTACACCCATCAGTTCATGGTAGTCCCCTATATCTTCAATAGGAAGCTGGTGTTGTGGTTATTACGTCTGCAAGAGCAACAGTGATGGTGATTTTGGCAGATTTGGACAAGGTGTGAAATATATTGTTAAACATACTCTACAGTCAAAAACAAGCCCAGCTGTTTTCCTCTTCAGCACTCAGTTAAAAAAAAGTTCTTCTATTCCAGTTAAAATTTGTATTAGATTGCTAATTTAAGATTTTTCTGGCGTCCATAGTCTTTATATCTAAGCCCGTGTTTAGTGTATGCAATAGTGGAAGTTATAGTGTTATTTGTCATGTACTTTGTTTATACATACAAGCTTACAGAAAAAATATTTACAACCTGTTTGTGTTTATTTTTATTTTATTTAATTTTTTGCTTTATGCTTTTGGCTTTAATCTTTGTGTGTTCCATGCCAGGATTTTGTGTTAACCCTTATTTAAACTTTTTTTTGGCGCATGTGCCTTTTTCAGGCATTTTTGCAGGCTGCACATTCTAATACTGCTAAATTAAATTGTACCATCTACCATTTCTTTCCCACTGACAACTGTGAGAAACACTTTTGGGTGCTCTATCTCTGTGCTGGTGCTACACTTCCTCATTGCAACCACATGATGGCAGTCATGAGCTTCAATCCTGATCATGAAAAAATGTGATCTGCTGCACACATTAATTATGATATAGGTTCACAACATGTTTTCCATGATTCTGCCAGTCTGTGAAAAGTTACAGCTGAAACTTCATTTAGATTCTGACTGATTTGAATCTTAATGCTGACAAAAAAGAGAGAATCCGCTAACATTATCTGTGTTTGTCATCTCTTATCAGTCTTATGGTGCTGAAAGTGATCAAACTGTCTGCTGTGAGTAAATGGGAGCTGCAGTTGAATGATCTGTGCTTTTGTTTTCAGTTTGTTAGTTCTTTTTTTTAACAAAAATCTCACACTGTTTTCTCTTTCATACTTCACTGTCTCTTCAGTGAATAATTGTCATTATAAATGCTTGAAATCAGAGTCAGTCTGTGGTGCTATTTTTAATTCATCGGTGGTTGAGGACACCTGTTAATGCCTCTGTGTCTTAGAATACTGGTTCATTTTTCCCTTTGGTGGAGAAATTACTATAATGGGAAAACCTGGAGTGAACTTTATCACTCGCCTTCAGAAATGTTCTGACCAGTCAAAAACAGATTTCTTTTTCTGACAACTTATTTTTCTTGATATCAAACTTCTAAAAAGGAAAAGCTGTTCACAAATAAGATGTGTGTTTTACAAGGTGAAGAAAGAGCGTCTCTCCCAGCACTTTGAATAAATCTTGCGTCAGCTGGATTACACGAGCATGATTGGAGTTATGAGTCTGTAATAACATGCTATCAGCTTAAAAGTGCAGACTCCTCTCTCTCACACAGCTGCCTACTCTTGTAGTGCATTTATTATCTCTCAAAGTTGTGCTTTGACAACTTGTCCCCGGAAAGATTTATGATGTGGCCCGACACCAGCAGACGTCCGCTGCGTCCACCCTCCAGCCTTGGGTGCGTGGTATTTTCAGCAGGCCATCTGTGGGCACCTGCGCCTGCCAGGTCCAGTCATCTCAGCAGAAATGAGCTGTGCTCGCCTCTGTTTGCTTTAATGCCGTCTTACCAACCTTTATTGCTTCCCGCTTCATATTTCTCGTGTCAGAAAATAGCATCACCCCCTCCCTGTGAAGCGCAATGAACTCCGGTTGCAATTAAAAAGCGTCCCATCTTGCTACGTCTTATCTCAAAGCTGCATTAGAGGCTTCTGCTGGCAAAAGATGACAGTTTTAAAGAATTCTCAGAGCCAAGAGTAGGGGGAGAAAAAGAGGCGCTGTCTGTTCTTATCAAGAGAAGCAAAAGTATGAAGCGATAGACAGCGCTCCCTTGTTGCTCCAAAGTGATAAGTGACGAAAGCAGACGAGGTTGGGATGGCCTTATCAGTTCAGAGCGTGTCCGGGAGAACGGCGGCCCGCAGAAAAGAGAGGCATGTTGCTGTGCGACAAAGGTGTGAGGGCAGATAAGCATGCATGTGTGAAATGCTCTAAAGACGAGCTCCACTCTGATGTGGGAGACAGGGAGCGAGCAGGGGACCGGCCGAAAAGAGGGGGGGGGGGCTTACAGAGACACTGCTGACACGCGCTGTGCTGATAGTTGCTGTTTGAATGTCTTCATTTCTTGATGCAGGCTGGAAAGCCATCCTGCTGGGGTACAGATTTATGGTGCTGAGGCTGAGCAGTGATGGAGGAGGAATTCAGACCTCTCACTAGAACACTTTACCGTACAGCAATATAAAAACACTTTATTGCATAAAGCCGTGCGTAACACATAGATGTGCTAAATCTGTCAGAGTGACCATGTGATACATTTGCTGGAAAAGTGCTGCTCAGACGTTTCATCTTTTGGAAATGCTTTGCATTTCTTCATAAATATAATCCAAAACTGAATTAAATATGTGAACAACTCCAAAAACAGTCAAGAGGAGCCTAATGAGGTGAAACAGGAATACTGTGAAACTGTCCAACTTACTGATTTCCACTGAGACAATCAAATAGGAATCCAAGAGTTCATCCAAATCCTGTTAAAAATAGACTTCTAGCCTTATATGAGTTCAGTATCAACATGTCATAAGAAATCTCATTTTGCACTGTCATCCTGCTCATTTCAAAACACACTCAATGTGATTTCTCCTTCAAACTGTTTTAATTCCTGATGCAAAACATATAAATGCTTTTACTGTTGGTTTTTATCATCATTCAAACTGATGACTGATGATGGAACACCAAACGATGGATTTGAATAATAAATAATCAAACCTGCCGTTGTTGCATTCCTTCCAAATAAATTATATTTTAGCTGTGATGGAATAATAGAATTTGCCTACAACTTATACATAAATCCACATTTTTCCCATGATTGAAGATGAGGTTGAAATCAATCGGTAGTTCTAGATTTGGCCCCAATAATGTCAGAATAACGTTGTTTGACACTCCTGCTGAGAAAAGATGCTGAATTAACTTTAATTTCTATTCCTGTTTGTAAATAAACAGTTGAAATCTCAAAGGGCAGCCGTCATGAGTTACATTCCATCCATTGCCAGAGGCCTAATTTGTGCTACTGATGCCCCAGAAAGTGTTCCTGGGTTAATCAAATATACATAGAATATATTAGAATATATATCTGAATGCATGGAAGGCGATCTTTGGATGCACTTCAGACAGCATGCATGTGTCTATGATAAGGTTTTAATTTAGGATTTATTACAAAAAACAGAGTTAAGAGTGTTAGAAAAACAACTTTTTGGGATCAGATGGGCAGCACAGATGGTTTGAAATTTCAGGACAGAGTTTAAACAATTCTCAATACTCCCTTTAACAATTGTGCATAATCTTATTGTTTATATAATTTTGTTAGGTAACTATTTTCATACGAGAAACGAACACGGTTGCTCCCCCTAGAAATTCAGTGAAAACAAAACTGTTCAGTCTGTTTATATGAAGCTTTTATTGAGCAGCGTTTCAGCCTCTTCAAATACATGAAAATCAAACAAAAGACATCGTTCATGCATCACTTGTCCATGAGTAGAGTGGTGACAAGTATTTCATTAAACCAGAAGTAAAATCTACGAGTGCTTTTCAGCTGGAAGATCATCATGCTCTTTAATGCAGCACTTAGCTTTTATGTTGTTTCCCTGCCACTTTGTTCCAGCTTGTAATCCATTTAGTTTCAGCCAATTCATTGTTGTTTTTCCTCTAATTGTGCGCTTCTGACTCTAGTTCCAGTTAGTTTGCGAGACTATCATTCAGCTTTTTCTTTTGTAACATGCCTGATGCAACAGTCTGGTGTATGTGTCTCTCTTATCTGGTAAAATCAGACCACTGAGTAAATATAGATACTGGACAGTGTTCTTCATTTTAAAGCAAATCCAGTGTTTTTCACCCAAACTGTATTCACAGTTTGGACTTTGTGCACATATGCAGAAGTGAAGATTCAACCTGCTGCTGCCTTTTGGAAAGTTTTTCACGTGGGGGCGGATGACTAATAAAAGCGGCTTGCTTCTGGTGGTCTGAGCTAGCTATGGATGCTGTGAGTGCTAGCAAGCGTGGGTGAAGCTTCCTATCCACTGAGGGAGGGAAAACACATGCAGCGCTGCACTTTCTCGCAGAGCGAGCCCACTCCAGCACCTCATTCAGCTCCCATTGATGAGAGCGGCACTTTCGCCCCCGTCTCCCCCATCGAGCCGCATTTTATACATTAGAGACTTGCCTTGGAGGGATGCTACAAAAAAGAAAACATGCAAATGCGAGAGATGCCAGGGTGGGCCATCTTTCATGCAAGACTTGCTAAACTTGCCATCTGCTCACTTTATCTAATGATGAGGTAAATTGTGGTGAAATTCTAGACGCTAAAGGTAATGCAAAGACACTTTAAACGTCATGCAAACCACTGTGAAAAGAAATCACTGTTAATGCCATTTTCATGTTACACGGTTATTTTTAGATTGATTAAAATGTGTGATGAATGACATCTAAACGTTTGCACGCTCCTGTTTGCAGGTGCATTTTTCTTCTGTGTTTCCAAAGCAACGTTGTCTGAAAAGCTGAACCTCAAGGCCACAGAGTTGTTCAGGGCAGTCTGGCTCTTGAGGCCAATATTGTGATTGGATAGCAGGTGGAGCAAAAGAAAAAGACATGCAAGATGGTCGTTTTAAGTCCTGGAGGGGAGCAGAGTGCTCCTTTCATTTTGTTCTGACATCCTGACTTCAGAGAGCGGGCTTTGTTCCTGCTGCTGGCAGCTAAAGTCACCTCGGGGCTCGACACTGAGTGATGCCATAAGACAGTGAAGAGACACGGCAGTTACAGCACAGGCTTGTGCCAGCAATAGCAAATAGTCCATTTATTGCTCTGTGGTTGACAATAAACTCTGAAAGGCTTCTCTAACTACACAATTTGTGTCCTGTTCAGCCTTTGTTGCCGGTTGCACCATGACGGCCCTTTAAAATGAGCTCCTGCACACTTTGACCGGCACCATATTTTATAAAGTGCCTACTGAAAACGTATCTCAGTGCTACGGACACAACAAACTGGGTGTCATAATAATAATAATAATAATAATAAGTAATATTCACAAACTAAGCCATACCATAAGGATGGGTTTCAAATGTGCAGAAATCAGCCTAAAACCCATATTATTATTATCCTTATTATTATTATTATTTCACATGTGTATGGTCATGGAAGGAATTTACATCTTTTTTTTAATAATACACCCTTCATTATCACTTAATTTGCATTCTTGCTAAACCATACAACTCTCATCATATAAAGGTAATGTATGTATAAATGTGTTTTTCAGTTGGAAAAACACGCCAATCAGAAAAAAAAATCCTTCATAGGATAATGGTAGTGATGCATAAAAAGTTCAAGAGTATCTGAAGTGATCTGAAGTGAAAGGGGAAAATGGACCCATTTCATCCTCAGTACAGCGCCATATGATCACTTTACTGTAAGGTTCAAAGATCTAGACCTCTCCTAAGCTGACATATGTTTGGCGGATGACTCATCTGTGTCAAATTGCTCTCTTTTTATATAATTATTGACAATTTCCTTCCTTCAGGTGCACCACTAAACAATTGACTGAGAGTTCATATTTATTATGAGGGATTCATGCACTGCAGCCCTGCAGAAATATCCCTTTCTCTACTCATTGACACTGTTTATATTGACACAGGTTTCTCACCTGGAACAGTAATATTCTTGGTCACAGAAGAAAAAAAAATGCAATTGCTTTTTCACCCTTTTCATATCACCGAAAGCTGTTTCCAGAGTAATTCCTTATGTCAGAGGTCTTCGTGACTAGCGCTCCGGCCGTCTAGCCGAAATATTTTTCTTATATTTTATTGTTATCTAAGAATGTCACGATCGATTTGACTGGCTGTCAAAAAGCCTAAATGTGCATGCGGCCCACAGCATTCTCATACATAATGTCCCAGCTTTTGTTTGTTCTGTGCAGGTCAGCTAGAATGGCTTCATGTGCTTTATGTGTTGGCTGAGTCCCTTTCTCACAGATGACAGCAGATTCTCTGGATATTTTAATGATTTTATGCAGGATGAAGGTTAAGAATATATATATATATTTTTTTTTTCACATGGAGGAACATTACACATCTGTAGCTGCAGTTGCTGCACCTATATATATCGTCACCTTTTCAGACCCATATGTTACATTATTGATTTGTCTTTCAAAAAAACTCAAGTAGTTGAAAGTTCTGCCTTCGGCTGTTTCTTTTGCTTTTTTGGTGCCTCTTACCTCATATTTTTAATACAGTTGGCTGCCAACAAATTTAAGATGGCATTAAGTTTATTTATTTGTTTAACATTGGAGTATTAAAATATCTCATTTCCATCATGTATTGCAGATTTGCAGATCATCAGATTCAGCTTTTATTCACAAACAACGCCCAAATCTTTTGTATTTATAGCTCAGTGTCAGATATTACTGTTTACCTTTTCAAGTTCCCTTCGTCAAAAAAATAGTCATTAAATACTACTAATAACACTTTATGTCCTCTATGACGATGTTAATTATTGTGAACGCATTATTGAACACGTTTACACTGTAGTTCAGGCAATGGTTATTCATTACTCTAAAAAAATCAAGTCTTTATGTTGATATTCAGCCTAATGTTAATTACTTTGTTGAAGGTTTATGTAATTAAACTGATTTCCTGCCCATTTCCTTTCACTCACCCAATTGACCTTTTGATGATGGAGGTTTGGCTTTTGAAGGTAGCACTGCAGACATTAAATGACTTGTTGGGTACCTATCCAGGGCGTTCCGTGCCTCCTTCTCGATGACAACCGGACAACATGGGAATGACGTCATGTCTCCATACCAGAATAAAATGCAGCACCAGCATAAAGGCACACGAGATGCAGAGAGACAAACATTTATGAATCATGAAAAGACCAAACCATGTGGACTTTTCTGGCGCCTTTTTTCCCGGTAGTGTGGTATCACTCTATGATCAATGATAAAGATCTCCATCACACCAATTAGTAGTTTAATTAGGCTTTATTTTTTACCCCCTTAACAAACCAAAGTGAACAATCTTCTTTCAAACCAATATGCGACTTCAGATTGAATTTCTTTACTTAGTTTACAAATTTTTTCGTTACCTTTGCAACAGCAGAGCTCTACGACAAACTTATCAAAAAGACAAGGAATAAGGGAGTGCGAGAGACAGCAAAGTGTTTCATTACTCATGCCAAATACATTTATTGACTAGATGTACAGTACACAATAGATGCTATTAACCCTCGTATCCACTGCCCAGGAACTCTGCGTAGGTAAAATTTCAAATGATTGGACCACTTTCTAGCTTATTCTTTCATTAAATAATCACGGACAACTTGAATGCTATTGTCATGAAATTGATTTACAAGGTGCATAATAAATTGGCAACAGTACGAACAGGTAAGACACCTACTGTAATTCTCAAGTACGGGTGCTGTTAATGTGGTAAAAGGATAGGTAGTTTCTTACTGCTTAGAGTTCAGCTTTATAATAGAATTACAGCATTTCCCTCTCGTCCAGTACTCTGGTGGGAGTGCTGCACACCAGAAATAAAGATGCGGTCTGGATCAATATGCGGTCCAAGCAATACTCCATCCGTGCAGAGTATTTTCTTTCACGGCTCCTGTTTTATTTAGCCTTCCCTCTCCGTAAAGCTCCTTTCCTTCACAGGCCTGGCATCAGCACAGTCACACACATTCAGGCAAAGCGTCCCGTCCATTGTGTCCCTTCTTCTCCCCTTGGCTCCTTTTCCCTTTATTTCCCCCAAAGCAATTGGTTCAAGTGCTATACATGTCCGGGCTTGGACAGGTAGGCTATGAGGGCAACAACCACCCCCACATACATGCCTGTTCCAATGGTAATGGACAGTGCAGCCAGGAATAGGGCCCTTCTGGAGCTCATTCCTGCCCTGGAGAAGTCTCCCTTAGCAATGGCCTTGCCAGTCTGACAAAACAAAGCAGAGCATAACATGAGCTGGTGTGTTACTCATCAGCACTGAGTGTATGAGTAGGTGTTAAGCTACAGTTAAAAAAGAAAAAACAAGAAATGCTCTCAGGAGCCATTAGTTACCATGGCAATTAGGTCATTTGCCTCTGACAGTGACAAATGTGTTGTTTGGGTGTTTTGGTTTTCCCATCAAAAATGAGCCTGGCCTTTATTCATTCTTCTGACACATTATTTGCCGTTCCGGAGTAATTTTCTTTGTAATTATTGTGAAAGATGTTACAAAACTTCCAAGACACGTTGGACTTTGTTTGCAGGGATTAAAGCTAATCTTCTGGAGCCCAAAGGTGCTAACATTACATATTTTGAAAGCACCGCTATAATCACAAATTGGCTCTAAGCTACTTATACAATATAATGTATCTGCAGCATGAAAATTTCGATGTTAATGGTTTTTCTCTTCACAGACGACTGACAAGCAGACAGAAGCTGCTGGATTTAGTCAGTCGTACAAAACAACCGCGAAGAGGGTCAAAGAGTGGAAAATGGGCTGCTACAGCACTTGTCTGAGTGCTTGTGCTCACTGACCTTAAATAGAATGCAGTGTAATCAGAATTAATGACAAGGTTGACGTCTCTGGGCCTTTACCTTGTGAGAGTAGTAAAAGGCAACGATGCCCAAGGGCCAGAAGCAACAGAGCATGGAGAAGATGGCCAGGCCCAAGTAGTCCCGGGGGGGCAGCACGATGAAGTTGTCCTCGCTCTCGCTGTCACTGGAGCTGTCACTCTGGAAGACGGGAGATTTATGGAAAATAATTAGGCGCACGGAGACACTGTGGATGACACTTCATAAAGTATGTTTTGCGGGGATATCTCGGGGCAGGCAAATTCATGTCGTAAACTGATACAAACGACAAGGCTGGGAGCTTTGGAGTGACATAAAGAATAAAGAGGATAAGAGTGGCGGGAGCGGTCAGGTGTACTCTGAACGTCTTCGGGGTAGATTTGACGGTGGGTATCTGCCCTTGTTTCCACAACCACCCAGGACGGCATGTGCTCAGCCAGCCAGGGAGGATTTGGTGCCTCTGTCAACACCCATGAGCGGCATGACAGATAAGGCAGGATTAACGGATTGTTCCATCATCGCGAGGTGACAGGAGAAACAGCAACAAGACAGTGTCCTTTATGTGCTAAATTGCCTCTTCAGGCTGAGAGACCTCCAACACACTCTCTTAACACGAGGCAGTCTCACAAGCAAGCGTGTGTTCAACAGGCTCCCAATAATGCCTTGAATCTAAAACTCAGGAACCATGGATGGTGAGCAGGCTAATGAATGACTGATCCAAATGCCACTCGGACCGCTCAGGCCCATCAGCAAGGACACAACGTGCCTGCGTGGGTGACCTTTAAGGGAAGGTGGCCGCACTTCTCCCTGCTGTCCAGGAGACCGAGAGGATGTTTGGCTGAATTAATTGCTGTCATACCCAGCAAGTTTCATTTGTTTGTCTCCCTGCCTTCTAGGGTCAATCAAAGCAGGGGAAAAGAAAGCACAAAACAGAAATCGATATGTAAGGCGGGACCCGGCCAACCATTTAACAGGTAATTAAAGAACGGTCAGGGAGGCTAGAAAGAACAGAGGACCCGCTCAAGCAGGAAGAAAGCCGCAAGTCTATACTTGTTGTTCACAGCTTTTTCTTGTGTTGTTTGATCTTACCAAGGTGCAGCGTCTAATTAATTGAATTTGTTATTTGTTATAGAGGATGGTATCAAAATGACGAGGTTAATATAGAGCACTTGTTGCCACAGAATTGTGAGCCTCCCTGTTATCTGCTTTATGAACCCTGTCCGCCCAGAGAGTCAGGTTCAACCCATTAAAGTAGCAGCATGAATAAACGGAGGAGCACAAACAGGAGAGATCTCCTGTTATCTTTGTAGCAAGACCGGATAACAGCACTGAGTGACTGGTGCTTTCAGTCCTGCTGACAGCCTGCCTGGCAACGAGTCCGGTCAACTAGGGGATGCACTTCTGCTCAGGTCTCTTCATAAAACTGATGGGGCTCCTCTGAGGAACAGTGCCTTTAACAACCCCGTCACACAGCACTCTTCGAGGTCTCATTAGCATCTGGGGGAGAGAGTTGACTCAACAGCACTGCACAATGACCCTTAGACACAATGGCATACCACGCTGGCTGTTGCTGCTCTATTACCTACAATTTACTTCTTATGTGTCACACAAATGTAAAAAATATACTGACAAAGACAAGAGGTGAAATGCCTCCTTCTTAATTCTTTTGCTGGCTGTAAACAGTGGCTTTATTGCCAAGCAAATGTAGACATAAAACACAAACCATGAAAAGCTTATCAAAAATTGAAGGTGTGCATAATGCATCTCTCAGCTCTTCTCTTTTCATCTTAGTGTCTTTCCCATATCTGTGAAATTCCTTCTAACTTTCTCCTATTCGGTAACGCTACTGGCACTGTAACGTTGTTTTATCCCCATTTCCAATATGCAGAAAAAGTGGAGGGGGGATAAGAAAAGCAGTTGCAAATATTCCAGCTAAAGCCCCAACTTTTCAACTGAGCTCAGTTCAAGAGATTATTGCAATTTGCTCCTTTGAACTGGCATGGCATAACTTTAGCTCCAGGCTCACCTGCTACGATAGCCATGCATCAGCCGAGGTCTGCTTAATACCTTTAAAGCCTGACATTACTTACGGCATTAATGGAGCTTTCTTCAATGTCTCTATCAATCTGCCAGGCCTCCAAGTGACAGGAGCCGGCGTGATGATCAGCCCGGTGCTATACCTCCTCCTCTGCCAGCTCACAGCCGTGGGTATTTCACAAGCGTCTCTGGCTCAAATTAGATTTTCGTCGCTTTTGAAAAGCCCTGGCTCTTTCCACTGTTTTTCCTACCTTAGATAGAGAATGTGGCTACAGTCCTAGCAGCACAATAACCTGGACCGATAAAATCAGATACGTAATTTTCTTAGAAATAACTCAAACAAAGGCATGTCGCTGCTGTGCAGCAAACTGGAAGCCCGCTAGCAAACAGACCTTTTCAAGAGAAGAGCGCAAATTAGTGTGAATCACACCAGCAGTCTATTAGAACAGCAAATTGAGTAATAACTGTTATTCTAGTCTATTCACCATGAGTCATTTTCTGCCTTCGCGTGAGATTTCAAGTTGCAACGTAACACAACACTGCAACGTAATACAATATTGCTTAGTTGCATTGATTGCTCCTTTTAATGTGTGGTTATAAGACGGTTTCCTGCAAGGAAAAGGACTTTCAAGTTAAACAATTTCTAATAGCCCACAGCTGCTGTTATAAACAGCCAATACTACAATATTTATTGATTCTTACTATGTTTGGGAGCAAAAATTCATATTTCGCTGTCATGTGACCTCTGACCTCATAATCTGGACCTTGCTCATCCTCCACCTCGTATGACACCGTCTGTATCTTCACATCCCTCTCTCCTTGTGCATCGTCCCCTGTGTTTTCCGTGGGAATTCCATCCGGCACGCTGTCCTTGTTCTCTGTGAAAGTGGTCTCAAAGCTCTCACTCTTTGAATCCTTGCTGTGAAGGCTGACATCATCCTTAAACAGGATGAAGTTGGGCCCGTAAAAAGCCTCCACTGCTAGATGAAGAGAAGTTGCATCCAGAAACTGCTGAGTGTTGTGCTTGCCGCTGGTCCCGCTGTAATAGTAGCCAATTAGGTCGTCCTGATAAGGCTGGCTCGGGTAGTCACACTGGTATCCTTGGTAGTTATTCTGGACCACGTGTCTGCCGCTTTTGTCAAGCAGCGGGTTTTGGAGCTCGGTGAGGCTCTCCATGACTTAGGGAAGGGTCAAATGTCAAGTGGGTCAAACAACGGAGTCGAAAGGATATCTGCCAGTCTGGTTGCTGAAAAAAAAAGCATCGAGTAGAATTAAAAATTAAATCTGATTGGGTGAAAGTGACATTCAAAGAAATAGCAGGCACAGTCATTTCATACAGTGGCACAGTCTTGGAGCTACGCAGTTAATCAAGATGGAAAATGGCACTGCAGTGCAATCAGAAAATAAGATATAGTGGTAATAATGTGGAATAGGAGTTCAGTTCTGGTAATATCTCATTTTGCTTGGCAATCAGCATTCCTCTCGCTGGTTCTCAGCAGGCTGAGCCATGAAATCACCATCTGCTGTATGCTCAACTGTTGCATCTCACACGTTTCATATAAACATGTACGCATAAAAAAACAAAAAAACCTTCCACACATCACGGCTGCTGAAAATCTAAAATGTAGACATTGATGAAGGTGCTGCTGCATACTGCAACGCACACCCATTTGACATGTCTCTTAACTGACCAGCTTGACTCTTCTGGCTGTTAAATCTGCCGGTAAAATGTGGTTAATGTAAGGAATTAAAAGAGGAAATCACTACGCCAACAAGTCTGTCAGAGTCTGTGTGATCCAGGCATGCGGTTCATGATAACTTAATTTAACACATTCATCTCTCATCAACGGCCTCGTTAAAGCAGATAACAGCCACTGAGGATCCTGCACTCTTCTTTGGAATTAGTCGCAAATCGAGTACACATTTGACCAAAAAATGCCACACAATTAAAGACAAAGATATGCCAGGATTGATCTATTGGGAATTATAAGAGAGACTAGATTTATGAGGTCAGGAGGTGACATGGTTGCATGGACAGAAGACCTTTGGAACCTCTGACCTCCCACTAGAATAACAAGCTCATGCGACCATCCCACGTTTCTCAGTTATTTTCTGTGGAGAAGCATGACATAAGCTGGCCAGTGGCTGCATCTGAGCCCACATACACACATAAACGCACTCAGACACAGATTATGTCAATCTGCACATGCTACTCAGTCTGAGCCACACTCCAGAAAACAGGGAATTCCACTACATAAAACATTCGACAAGGAAAATCACAACCCAAATTCCCAAATATTTCCTATGGCACAAGAAAAAGTGCTTTCAGCTCATGTTATGAGCTTTGGGCTCCCCTAGTATTAATTAGTGTGCTCGGTCTACCTTCTGTTTGTCTACTGCAGACTAATCTGTCTCTCACACACAAACACACAACGAGAATGTGCAATCATCTTCCAATATTGAACAAAATCTCATCTCAAATGACTCAAATATGCTCAAACTGAATGTGCACACAATGATCGTTGGGCAAATCATTTTTCAGATTTTGTTATTTTTACCTTTTCGTGTAACACCGACCTATTTTTCCTTAGAAACATCTACAAACAAATAAGAGCAAAGTAGTATTTTTAGGATAGGCACATATCCAGCGACAACCTTACCTGTAGAATAAAATCTTTCCGTTGGTTTACTCAGCATCGTTCCTCTGCGCAAATGAGTCGATGGAGAGGAGAGGACAGACTCACCCTGCTTCGCGTTGTCAATTTTCGGAGAACTCCCTTCATGGCACGACATACGGTCTCCGTGGCAGTTACTCCGTGTGTTTAAGAGTGGACTTTGCTCGCTGGGTCCTGGATGCCACGGCACCGCTGCTGCGTCTGGCAGGTAGATTTTACGCACAGCTTTATCTCGCTGAGACCCAAATAACTCGGGCAGAGCTTTGCTGACTGCCTCCAGCCAACCAGATTGGCTGCGCGTGGCGTGCGATAAACTTTATTATCGACCACGTTTTGGCATTTCTAAACTTGTTCCTGTTCTAGCTGCCTCCTCCGGTTGGAATCTCACGTGCGGGCTGGGTGTTTTTTTAGATGCACCCACCGCGCCCAGTGCTGCTGCTCCGCTTTGTTGCATAGGCTTAGAGTGTTGAGACCAGGCTTCTGAGATAGATACAGAAATGTATTTTAAATCACGTGAGACGCTTTTTAGAGCCATTGCCCCCCCCTCCCATATGTTTTAGTGTTATTCCTCCTCATCGAGAACCGCCCACTCAGTCTTGGAGCTAAACTGATCATGTTTGTATTTTCTCTTGCGACATTACTTAAAGGATTACCCTTTTTCTGTTATGATGTCAGAGTAAGTGGCTTTCAGCCATGTCCGAATGTTGCACTTTGGAATTAAGCCACTATTCCATTCATTGCACATTTAAATTGGATTAATATTTTAGATAAATTCCATGAATTTGTCATGAGCATGCTCTCTGTTGACCTTACATTTGATTGCATTAAGCATTTTCTATAGAACTGTAACCCACTGTTTACATAACACAGATGTATTTCCCATACAAGCGAATGGGTGACATAACAGATTCCACTTAGAAAAAAAAAAGCTTAAATTATTATGACCCTGAGAAAATAAAGATTTAAGAGAGCGATGACATTTTCTGGAATTTGGTCTGTGGTTTAGATTTAGAACTAAACCCAGTGTGTAAAGGTTGTGATGCTATATATGTCAGAAACTAAAGGACTGATATACAGCGACTAAACACTGGACACATATCTTATTCAGAAGGAGCACTCTGTTCCACAGGGCCATAAAAATGTCTGGAGTTAATAATGTGCAAGTCCAGGCTCTGTCACCTCCACTGAGAGATACATTAAGGTGCTGATGGACACTTTATGGGGGAAACATGGGGCTGCATCCATAAGGCTGAGAACACACGCGACGCTACCTGTGTCACCTTGTGTGCGCACACATGGGACAACACGGCACAACATCCCCTCCATCGACATGATGGATACGACTCCCTAAGGATATGAGTATATTGGAAAGAAGGAGAGATCGGGAGGTGTGGGGGGAAGCAGTGGAACCTGCATCGTGGTAAATTCCTCCTACTTTTTTCTATCTTGTTGTCATGGAGAGCTCACAAATTTCTTCCTAATGATGACTTAAAAATAAATAAGTCCAAAAACAGAAGAATTGAAACCCCAAAACTGTGAGGCAGGCTCACTAAAGCTCAGTGGCGGCACATTAAGAGCAGCTTATGGGAATACAAGAGCTCTCCTAGACCATGCTTTTGCCAGCCGCCTGTGTATGGACTGTGAATATTTATGGTTTTCACAGTGCCCCTTTCTTCTGCTCCATTTTCCACTCTATATTTAGGCACCATGTCACTACATTGCAGATGCACTATTTGTCAGGATTTTTTTCTCCAGAGGCCTCTAATTTCAAGAAACAAAAACACATCGCGGGGGCTGAATACACAGGTATGTATGTACCAGGAATTCTTTTCTCTTCTTTTACGGTTCTCTTTTGCACTGATTTTTTATATTCTTGTCAATTCTGACACCACAAACTTTCCTGAGGCCCATTTACCAACTTTAATCATTCAAACACTTTTGGGAATTAATCAGTCTAATCGGATTGGCACAGAAAGTATCAGACCACTTAATTTGATCTGGCCTTAGATGGCTTTTACACAGAAGGGAGGGTGGGGGGTTTAAGCAGCTTTTCCCACATGCTACCTTTGGATTATTTACTGTTTGATTAAATACTTGGGGCTGGTGTAGTGGTTAACACCCCCACCAACACCACCGACCCCACTAGGAATAATATAGACAATGGATGGATAGATGGATGAAATACTCTACTAAGCCAATAGGGCACTTGACATCAAAAACAGCTCATGGGAAGGATAACAATGAAAATGCTTCATTAAATCTCCAGCAATAGTTATTTAGTCACACTTAGGAATGATAGGATATTGCAGAACCCCAGTCTCATTCTTCTCATATAAAAAAACGAACCCACTTTCCATGCAATGAAGCATGAGAACCCCATGTACAACCTCTGACACTGTGGTTTAAATGGGAAAATAGCCAATTATTGCTAAGAGATTCATCTTTGTTACGTATATTTTATGCAAAATTACTTTGTTAAAATACGTATATGCAGACAGAATGGTGGTATGTTTCCAGAATTCACATTTTCTGCAACAAAAACAAGTAGCATGATCACTCCATTCGTGAGCCCAAAAATTGTGGACATGTTTATTTCAATAAATTTGGTGCCTTTTTTGTTTGCCAGTGTTTTCCTTCGATCCTCTTTTATCACTCGAAATGATATTTATGACAAATAAGCGAAAAACTCTCAAGGTTATGGGAGTATTTTAGATTAATCTTGATGTCTATTTGGTAGCTGTTTGTTTTTCTTACTTTTACAGTGTCTCTACAAACCGCTTTCTTCGCTGACATCAGGTGTTGTGTGAAGAGTTCATCCATTTGGCAAAATGGGGCAATTTGTAGAAAACAGCGGGGATTCTGTTCTCGCAGCCTGAGACCCAGGTGCAGGAACCAGAGGGGGTTCAGTATACGGGGAACAGAATGTCTAGACTTTGAGATATACTGCACATTGTAAGATCAGAAAACTGTAAGTGAATACTACTTCCCAATCCCAACCTGAAATAGAGAACCAGGAAACAGATGACAAAATGTGCCATGTTATGGATGGGAAATACTTTGGATTTTAAAAAAAGATATGTAATTGAAGTCAAGAGTCTGCTAATACAACAAAAGCTCTTGTGTAAGGCAGGGAGAACTAAAAAAAGGTGCAGTTCCGTATGTGTGGAATAATTATTTAAAAAGACACCCTATCATTCAATAAATTCTGATTATAAATTAACACATGACAATATTTTAAATGAAAGTGATTTATTACCTTTTTTCATCCAGAAAAAAACAAGAAAATGAGCTTAATTTGAGCAGGATGTTGTCACAATGAAAACATAATAGCCAGTGAATGCCAACATTATAAGAGGCAATTTCATTAAAGTGCTGCAAAGTTGCACAGTGTGTGACTTTTCAAGGTCCCTTTACAGATATTCAATCAGATTATTAGCAGAGTGTGTCTGGACGTTGGCCCACAAAATTGTGCCAGCACAGGGGGAATGGATGTACTGGGAGTCCTGAGAGACCGGTGGAGGCTTTTTGCTTTGTAATTATCTAACACACAATTGCAATAGGTTTCAAATTAGCCAAAAGTGCTCCATCAGGAGGGGAAAGGTCAGAGTTTTCTGTTTGCAGTTTTAGACAGAATACCACTTTGGAGCTATACCCTTCACCTATAAGCACACCTCTATTCAGCGGAGCGGGGAAAATGCAAGCTGTGCACCCCTCAGAGAATAACTCTGGATGGCGTGGAAGCAGTTCACGGCAGCCATGACTGGACTCCCCTGCATGGAGGGAAAGTGAAGCAGGACAGTGGAGAGTTTCCCATCTCCACTGATGGCTGGCAGTGGCAGTAGCCCTCTCCTGTGAGATGGTGTGTGCAGATTAATGACGTTTTCCGTGCCGAGATTTGAAAACTTCCATTAATGGAACACCAATGATAATTTATTTGGACAGCCGAGCTGCTTCTCGTTGAATAATGAAGTGGCCTCAGGGTCATTAATATGATAGATTTCTCTCTGCACTGATGCTGTGTGGGAAGTCTTAACTGTAAAAGAAAAGAAAGGAAAAATATCACTGCTGCATATATTTTTTTGTGGTAGATTTAGAAATGGACCACATCCTTTTCAAAGGGATTGAAGTTTTTTTAAAATATATATATATTAAGAAACAATACTTCAGAGGATTTGCATTTGAATTGATATCAGTCTTGTAATGCTAATCCTTTGGTGTGTGTTTGTATGTAAGCCTTGGGATGAGTCAGCCCCGGCATTGACAATGTTCTGTATTACTTGCAGGGATGTGTTTTTATTCTCCCTCCATCCTATCAGCTCAATAAGAAGAGTTACCAATTATATGTACCCAGCTCCGGCGGCGCGGCTGTCTCTGATGTGTCATGGGACCAGGCTGCATATGTAAGAGCTCTCCACTTTAAGATCGTCCATTAAGCCTATTACACCATTTATTAAAGAGCAGAGGATTTCACATTCAATATGCCTCTGAGCCGAACAGAGCTCAGACGAAGACAGATATCTCCGTCTGTCAGTGGTTCTGGGACTGCTGTGGGAGAGTTATAAATAGGTAATTGTTCAGGAGCTGCTGCTGCTGCTGCTGCAGGTTAAAGTACGGGAGCGTGCTCACCACCGGGGTGACTCACCGCCCTGTCTCACTGCGTTATGTCAGTTACCTGCAGTTTGCACCTGTTCCTGCACCCCTCGGGCACCACCTCAAACCGAAAGCCCGCTCAGCCAAACCCAGGACCGGCCCCAGGGAGCGGGGCAGGACCATGAGCTTTACAGGACAAACATAATTCAGTTTTAACTGAATGTATTTTCACATTTACAGTCTTACTGTTAAAGGATTATGACTCTGTGTCTTAGTCTTAATGTTTAAGTGAATCATTCCTCAAGAAATGGTCATTTTGCTTTTGAAAAAGCAGTATTAGATTTTGGTTTGGTTTTTTCTGAGCACAGCTTAGTTTATGAGGGCATTCGTTTCAAATTTAAAAAATGATGATTTCCTAAATCTAACCAAGTAACTTTATTAAATAAATATAAGGGTACAATGAGTTATAATCAACCTGGAAGTTACTTAAAGTGTCTGAGAGGATGTTATAATAATATAATATGGTATGAAGGGGTCATTTTTACCTAATTTCCCTTCGGGGATGAATAAAGTAATCTATCTATAATTTGGATAAAACATTTTTTATTCTATTTAAAAGTGTCCCTGTGGCAGATCCTCACAGTTTTGGCTTAAGAAAAAATTACTTTGGCAAGGTTGAAGACCAATGTAACAAAACACAAATCAAATGATTTATGTTCTTGAGGTGGAAACTATATCAAGACCATAACAGCTTTTCTATATGTTGTTCACACAAACAGTTAAATGGATGGCTGATTTAACTTTTTGGATGTTTAAACATTTGTTTTTTTTAGCTTTCTTCAGTTGATTTGGTTGCAGTGGTAAAAGCATGCCTCAGCACACAGAGCACCTGAG